CTGTGAATGGGGCATAGCCACGGGCATGGGCTGTACACCAGGCACTGTGAATGGCACAGGCTGTACACCGGGCCCCGACACTGGCAGAGGCTGCACCCCCTGGGCGTTCCCTGTGCTCTCGGGGACGGGATTCTGAGGTGGAAACTCATTGTCCTGGCTACTGCAGCTGGCCTCCTCTGGGTTCGACTCCTCCATGGGGCCCAAAGTTACAGCAGCAGAGGAACCTTCTCCACGGTTGCCTGTTTTTCTCGGGTCTAGTCCTCCCACTTCTGCTGTTGGGGAACCAGACCCAGGGGTGCCCCTTCCACTCTTTTCCTCCTCGCTTCCCTCTCCAGCAGGCATGACCACCGGTGCCTCGGGACCTGAAAGCAGGAAACGGAAAGATGAGGAGACGGGCCATGGTGGTGCGAAGTCCCTGAGACCTCAAGGCCCTGGAGGCCCGCAGCAGCTCAGCGACTGTCCCGCCAGCCCTCAGGGACAACAGCCCGTCATGGTCATGGTCAACTCACCACTCCTAGCCCGTACTGACCCTGTAGTTGTTCCTCTTCAGGTTCATCATGAGGCAGGTAGTTGATGTTTACATGCTCCATGACAGGAACGCTGTGGAAGCAGCTTTAGGTTTGCCTTCCTTCGAGCCTCCTCAGGTTCCCACCTAGAGTCCCCTGCAGGGAAATCAGGAGAGCATCTCAGCCAGCAAGGGCTCTATATCTTCTGGCTAAGGCCCTGCCTTCCAGGTTATCTTAGCCAATCCAAGGTGCTCCTCCCTGGTTTCCCTGGATGATTGACAGTTGCTGTGGACTGAGCCCCTGAGGTGCAAACCCAAGAGCAATTTGGAGTCTCAGTGAACAGGATGTGTTTACAGGGAAGGCATAGCCCTTGGGCAAGTAGAGTATAGGAGACGTCCAAGTTGCAACTTCATGAGTCCTTTTGCCCTGGTGGATTGTCTTCCTAGGGTACAGGGGACAGGTGGTGGTCAGCCACGGGAGCCGATTTCCTCCGAGTGAGGAAAGATCCCCAGGAGCTCTGGAGGCTTTTTTGAAACGAGGACAATGTGTCTTGCTCTAATGTCCCACACTGGTCCCTGGTAGTTGAAAGGGAATGGACATTAAGCGAATGCGTTTATCTGGGAAGGTCTCCTTGGACTTGCACAGAAAGTGAAGTTAGAGCCTGTGGCATGTCCATGCTCTGCCTTTGCAGGATCTCAGGCAGGTTGCAGGGTCCGGGGTTGCTCTGCAGGCAGAAGAGAGGGCTCAACTTCACCAGGGCAACTGAGGAGGGGTTTCATAGTACTGTTCAGACTTCATGAGTGCTGGAAACTCAGTGAGAATTGTCATACCTGTGCTGAGGTTCCTGAAAGTTCTTTCCAACACATGCACACACACACACACACACACACCCTTGATTTTTCTGAATAAAGTGTCATGAGCAGTTCCTTATGTCCAGGTCCCCACCTCAGAACAGTCAGCCAAGCAATTTGGAGTCCATGGCAGCCACTTTTTTTACCGCAAGTTTTGGCCTGGCTGAGAATAGAAGGGCACTAGAGAAGTGTCATATGACCAGGTCCTTCCTTTTTTATTGTAGTAGTAGTAGTAGTAGTAGTAGTAGTAGTAGTAGTAGTAGTAGTAGTAGTTCTTTCTGTTTAGGAACACATAGGAGCCCTCGGGCCTGAGTAGAAGTTTTCCTTCTATCAATAGACTTACAGCTCAGTTCTGGACACCACTTCACTGATAAATCTGACCGTACACTTTTCCTGTCCTTTGTCTGTGCTGTATAACTTGAAAATTCTCATGACAAGGTCCCCAGGAGCTTAGACTTGCTTCTGTCTATTTCTGGTGAATTTTGTAATGTCAGCCATGTTGGGATGAGAATGTATGGACAGTTTCACGGCACTTCACTCATACACAGAAAGGCCTGGGTTCAGTCTCTGGAAATGCCTAAAGTCGAGTGGTGTCCTTTTCCGTGATGCCCACTATCTGACCACCACGAGTTATTGGCAAGATCAGACCTTCACTCATTCTTGGTGTTGTGGTTTGAATGAAAATGTCTCTAAAAGTGAGTGGCGGTATTAGCTGTGACCTTGTTGGAGTAAGCGTAGCCTTTTCAGAGGAAATGTGTCCTTATGGGGCCAGGTCTGAGGTCTTCTGTAGTCAAGCTACCCCTAGTGTGACACACAGATTCTTCTGTTGCCTGCTGATCAAGGTGAAGAACTCTCAGCTCCTCCTCCAGCGCCATGACTGACCGCATGCCGCCATGATGATGATGGATTAAACCTCCGCAATTGTAGGCCACCCCACTTAATGCCTTCTTCAGAAGACTTGCTGTGCGCATGGTGTCTCTTCACAGCAATAGAACACTGAGTAACCCAGAAGTTGGTATGAAGGCTTGGGGTGTGACAGGCCTGACCATGAAATGCTGCTTAGTGGGCAATGCTGGCAGGGACATGGAGGACCGTGGTGCCGAGGGGTAGATGACCTGTGGGGGCTAGGCTCAAGATTTTAAGAGGAGAAGAACTTTCGTATCTGCCCTAGGTATACTTATGTTATTTTCCCAAAGAATATAGCTGTCCTTTGACCTTGTCCAAAGAGTGTGCCTGAGGCTGAAGTGAAGAGATTTGAATTAATACTGTTGGCAGAGTAAATCTGAAAACAGCCCAGTGCAGACAATTTTTGGTCATTAGTGTGACCTCCAGTGAAGATTCCTAGTGGAAAGGAGGAAGCTGAGCAAACAAAACTACATAAAACACTATTTGAGGTGAAAGGAACACCAGGAAGTGGGATGGAGGTAAGACCTGTGCTCAAGGAGATAAACAGATCCAGAAATGGAATAAAGGGAGTGATGGACTCAGGGAAAGGCCTCAGCCAGCTAAGATTCCAACTGTGAAAGAATTATAGAAAAACTTGCAGCCAGGTGTGGCTGGGGACAACTTAATTTCCAATAGCCGGTAGGCAGACGCTGGTGGATCTTGGAGTTTGAGGCCAGCCTGGTCAACGCATCCAGTTTCAGAGCATGCATGCAAGGTAGTGAAGGATGCCATCCAAGAGAGAAAGGTGGTGAAGATATAATTGAATGAGGGGCCCGTGGTCCTGCCCCGAGAGCAACAGAACATGGCAAACACGGTGGCTTGGTTCTGTCTTTAGAGTCAATTATCGAGGAAAGGGCTTATGGAGTGTTCCTCTCAGACCAAGGAGAGCCCCCAAGGCCAGGCATGTGTCAGGGGTATCTCTGAATGAAGCCATAGAGAGACCATTACCCAAAGCTGTGAAAATGAATCCTGGAATGCATTGGAGACCCCAAGATTTTGGAGATGGTAGAGTCGTGGGTTGCCTGTGAAGAAGAGCTGCTATCAGGGAGTGGAACCAGCCCAAGAAAGAGACATGTGCTGCATTCAACAAGCTGAAAGGAGTTGGGGATCTGAAGAACATATTTGATATCAGACATGGAGTCGCAGAGTGTAAAGTTTGCTCAGCTAAATTTTGGCCCAGCTTTGGTCCAATATTTCTTCAGTATCCTCTCTTTCATCCTTTTTAGGACAGGCTTGTGTATCTTGTGACACTGTATGTTGGATGTATGGGATCTGCTTCTTGAGTTTGATTTTACAGAGGATTACAGTTAAGACACTGGATGAATCTCAGGAGAGGCTTGGAACATTACTTTGGAACATGAGTTTGAGAACGTTATACACTAGGTGGGCTTTTGAAGTGGATTGCATGCGTTTTTATACCACACTTTGTCTACAAACCTATGGGGCAAGGGAGCAGAATTTGTTGAGTTGAAAGAAAATGGCCCACATAGGCAGTGACACTATTAGGAGATGTGGCCTTGCTGAAGGAGCGTGGCCTTGTTGGAGGAAGTGTGTCACTGCAGGGGACACCTTTTGAGGCCTCCTCTGCTTAGGCTACATCCAGTGTGACCCTGAGTTGCTTCTGGTGCCTGTGGATCAAGATGTAGAAGTCTGAGCTCCTTCTCCATCACCATGTCTGCTGCATGTCCCCATGTCCAGCGCTTATGAAAAATGACTAAACGTCTGAGACTGTAGGGTGCCTCCTCAGTTAAATATTTTCCTTTTCAAGAGTTGCCATGGTCGTGGTACCTCTTCATAACGAGAGACACACAAACCACCACACCTGGCAAAATCAGTTTGAGCTCCACATCACTCAAAACACACTGCCTCAGAACAACAAAATAAATCCATATTCATTTCAATTAACCAGCTATGATGTCTCCATTTCTTTATACATCAGTGAGGAATGGAACGAGTTTCATTTATAAATTTCAGCGATATGAGTTTCAAAAGTATGTACAAACATATCTTGTTGGGTGAAGGTTAGGAGAAAAGAGAAGGTATCCTGCCCCCTCCTGCCTGGAATGGTTGGACAACCATTCGATGTTCCTTTTGAAGCAGCAGGACCTCTGTTCACACTGTCTCCTCAAGCCATGAGTGCTGCATACAAGGTGGGATTGGGGTGAGGGGGCACAGGTCTCCAACAGTGAGCATGAATGCCCACTTGCCTGCTCTCATGCATCCCATGACCCGCCTTCAGAAGATTCACTTGGGAATGAGCTCAGAGTGTGGCAGGGGGTGATACTGCCTGAAAATCACTGACTACCTCTGGGGGAAAATAAGGACGCTTGAACATGATTCTACTCCAAGGTAGTCACAATGGGGGTGAGGGGAGAACCAGTGAGGGCTAGAGAACAGTTTGCATTCTGTGCAGCGAGACCAGGAAACACCTGCCCAGTGCAGGGGCTACTGAAGGTGACAGAGGCATGCGCCAGGGCAAAGAAGACTGCTTTGCCAATTTCTTTGAATCTTCCTTAGATGGGACATTTTGCATTTACCGTCTACAAAGCAGAAAGAAAGTGCAGTGAAAATGTGTGTTTATTGGTGCTGTAATACAGTGCCAAGGACATAGAGAAACACGATGATCTCCTCTCATGAGTGACCCAGTTGCGTCACCAAACAGCCCATCTGCCTGTGGCTCCTCGAGGAGGATGGCATCCTAGGCTTCCTCAGGGTCCATCATGCAGATGTGGTCCTGAATTCCAGGCAGTGACCTCCTGAGCATTGTCTTCTTCTCATAGGCCCTCTGTTTGGCTCGCCTGTTGTTAAACCAATTCTGAAAGAGGAGGAGAGCAGGAAACGTGTCAGCTAGATGACACTTGGATGGAAAGAGACACTCCTCGGGATACATCTTATGTTACTGGCATTCTAAACCTCATAGCAGAAGCTCTCTTCAAAATGCTCAGCCACCCAGGGCAGAAGCAGTGCAGGACGTGTTCCCTGTTGGAAGACAAGGCTGAACCCTACATAAGTCTGCCTTCTTCCCGGGAAACTGAAAATAGCAACAGCAATCACTACTTTCTGAGAGTCCCAGCTTGCGCGCTCCTTCAGATCACACAGGGAGAGCAGAGGCTCTGTGCTCAGTTCCAGAACAGACTCGGTGCAATCCCTGAGTTAATGTGAACTCCAAGGTTCACTTTTACTGGTGTCATATTCACAGATGCGGGGCTGTCTCTAATTAATTCACCAGCACTGGTTTAGACTCTTTCATTTTACACACGTTTGCAAGGGCGTTAATCCTTGCTCTCTTCCACTGCTGTTGGGACAGTTTTGGCAATGTGCTCTGCTGCAGGCCACATCTCAATGAGAAACAATCCCCCAATTAAAACTGAGTGCTGCTACCTGATGCAGCCTCACCGATGAGGAGATTCAACCAAGTGGGCTATGAAGCTCTATTCCCACATCAGCCTCACCATAACAAGCATCAGGTGGTCCTCCGTGGGTTCTATGGGCAAATTACTGTCTTGCCCCGATAGCTAAGTGTGCACAGCTGATTTTTAGTAATTTAACAGGACTGAATCCTTTGGTAGCCCCCCTTGATCCTGCATTGTCTTCAATATCTACCCAGCATCCTCAGCCCAATCTGGACCCCACAGGAATTCCCTGTGAAAGACAGTAGTGGTGAAGAAATTAAACATGAATCCCTGGATTAATACCTATGCACTAACAGGTATGCATTCTACGTGTATGTAATTATAGAGTCCGTGCTGTGGAAAGACCTGGGCTTTGCACAATGGTTTGAGTAGCATATGGTTGCTTTGGGTTTCTGTTTCCACCAAGAAATCTCTTTCCCTCCAGGAATGGGCAAGCGACACTTGCTGGACCATCGTTCCTCCTCCTTCCAATTGGGAAGCCAGTGGTTGCCATCGTAAGAAAGACAGAAAACACACACCTCCTGACAAAGATCCAGGACAACTGGTCTGAGACCTGAGGCGTGCTGTGCATGGACTGCCTGCCCCATGCCTTCTCACATTTACTGACCTGCACTTTGGCTTCCGGTGCATTCATGTTTCTGGCTAGTACCCTCCTGTGTAGACAAAACCACAGAGTTCTACAGTCACGGTTATGAGAAAAGTCACAGGCTGGAAACAATGTGAGCTCATGTCAGTCTCTGTTCTCCTGCTAAACTCATCAGACACTGGCAGACAGAGAAAGGCACATTTTGGAAAGGTTGTACCCACCTCATCATTAAGCTTTGTGTTGTACACTGGTGGTCAATACAATTTTGGATTACACAAATGATTTTATTAATGAACACAAAGGCACAAGTGTATCATGAAGATGATATGACAATTTTAAGCATTGGAATTTGTAGGAAGGGTGTGAAGGGCTGCATGGTGGCCAGATCTCACTCCCTTGACTCTGTTTCTGTCAGTTATGTTTAGCTCTCAGTGCAGGAGCGCAGGGGTGTGGTTTTAGGGTAGGAGGGTGGGTGGGTGTTGAGGGCAGAAAATAGATTAATTAGAGCACATCGACAATATAAGCTTACAACATGGGCGGTGGTGGCACAAGTCATTTGGCAGAGGTAGTCATATCTGTGTGAGTTCGAGGACAGCCACAGCTACACAGAGAAACACTGTCTTGGAAAGCAAACAAATGAACAAAGACTATAACATTCCAAGTATTACTCAGACACAGTCAAGAGTTGTAGCCAGAACTGATGGTAGAGATCTATAATTCCTGCTACTTGGGAAACTGAGGCAGAAGGGCTACAATATCAGGCTTGTGTAGGCTCACCTGTAATTTCAAGGCCACCGTAAGGAAGCTAGATAGACCCTATCTCAATTAGTAAGAGACGGCTGGTAGCCAATCCTTGAAAACGAGAGAAAGGACAGCCTGAAGATCAAGATGGACTGGTGTACACTCCAGGTTCTATTTCAGCTAGGACTCCAATGAAAGTCCATTTAAACAAAAAAATCACCCCACTCTTAATATCACCAACCACAAAATGGGTGGCTGTGGCAGCAGCTTTAGCGCACTGACTATGGGATTGTACCCCTGGCTTCCACCATTGACTAATAAAAGTGACAAACTACCACAGTACATGATAGTGTCTAAAAAGAACACTGAGACAATCCCACACCCAGTTCGTTAGCTAATAAAATCAAGGGGCAAATACCTGCTAATGCTGGTGAGGAAGGAGGGAACCTTGGGAAGCTTCTAGACAGGGTTGAAATATCAACTCATGCACTAGATAAGGAGAAGCTTGGATCACTAGAGCAGTTGGTCAGGGGCCTCCATTTCACAGTTTACACAGCTAACACCAGAAGCCTGGAGCTGAAGAGGCGTTTGTCCCTCAATAAGAGCCCCCACAGACCGCTTAGCCTCAAGGCACAAACAACCCTGATCTCTATGAAAAGGGATTCTGAAACAAAAGTAGGGTAGGTTGATACAGTGTTGTGACATTCACACCAAAGAGATCTGAGCACCAGAACTGCAGTTGGAAAGCCTGAGAACCTGGCAAATCAGAGTCTCAAGGAGGACCTTGAGCTCCAGCCCAGGACCCTTTAGAGTACTCCAGGTTACACGAGGAAGGAAGATGTCAGCTGCTGGTGTGGAGGAAGAGGGGAAAATGTGATACTGTTTGTCAAGAGGAACAGACTTCCAGAGTCCTATAGGAGACATCACAAAGACACTTGACACCACAGCATCCTAAAGCATCAGAACAGCTTCAGATCCTCCAGATGAGTTTCATTGGTCCGTGTGCGGTTGGGAATTGAGATAGCGTGGCATGAGAGGCGAGCACACCAGTGTCATGACATCATTGCCTGTAAACGTGGCCCTCCATGCCACAAAGCGTCTTCCCCACTCCCATCACGGGGGAGAAGCTGCCTGTGCTGTGGAGATTGATGGGGACGACAAGGTGCAGAAGGGGTAAAGGCCAGGTCAAAATGGACATGGAAGTCAGAATGACTCCCGGTGCCAGCCACATACCTTGTGAGCACATCCGGGTACTGGGTTTCTTGGAAAACGGTCTCCATTTCCTGCACCTGCCACAGTGTAAAGTGGAACGGGAGTTGGCGCCTCCTGGAATGGCGCCTTGGAACCTCAGACAGAGAGGGGCCTGGCTTCTCTGGTCGCAGCTCTAAGGGCTCCCGGGTGCTCTGGTCATCTTCAAGACCCGGGTAGTTGTATGGGCTCAGGTGGCCTCCCTGGCTCAGGTTGCCCCGTTGGTTCTTACTGTCGTCCAGGCATCGAGCTCCTTCACAGATGGTACCATCCACTTGGGGTGCTGGCCCACGGCCAGGCCAGGGGCCTGTGTCCTCCTCAGAGTCCTCCAGAAGACAGTAGAAGTTGTCATTGTAGTTGTGGAGGTGCTCCATGGTTGCTGCTCTTTGGAAGCCTGGAGACCTGCACCCTGCTGGGGTCTTTGGAGACAGCCTTGCCCTGGGGGCTTTTAGTGGTTTGGGGCCACATAGACTCAGTTCCTCCCTTTACAAAAGTGCTATTGGCTTTCTGAGTACTTACCACCCTAGGGGGGTGGGGCCCTGAACTGAGAATGGGCTAGACCCTGGCCCAAAGAATGGGGGGGGAAGGGTACTCACTCACACTGAAACTTACATTTAGTAGACCTGCTCCGATCTGGCTCTTGGACCCCATCGGGGACCTTTGGAACATGGTTATGCAATATTGCAAGCTGATTTTCCCATGGAGTGTGGAGAAGAGGAGGGGGAAACTCAAAATGAGCACAGGAGCCTCGGGTGAACAACTGGAGAATTTCTCATTAGCCCAGACCCCACTTTGCCATGTCTGTATGTCATATGAGGTCAAAATTCAGTGGACGTGGTCAGCTCTGTCTGTGTTTGCTTCAAGAGTCTTCTAGGACTCTGAAAGCACAAGCTAGTCATGGACATCCACATTCAGCGATGGCTTTTGGTCTTATCTTACAGTGTATTGGCAGACAAGATAGTGCAAGTGTCCCAATGCAACCCTGACAAAGTTAAAATACTCCAGTTTGCCAGCAAAGAATCTGCATTAAGGACCATCCAAGACGTCCTGTCCACTGCTTCTTACAATTGCAAATGCTGACCATGCATGAGTAACTGTACTCTTTGTGTTGTAGAATAAACTACTTAGGGTTGAGGGCTCATTTGCACAATAACCTAGGCAGAAGGAGCTCCACAGACACTTTAAGGAAACAATGGAGAGGAGAAATAGTGTGCGGGTGTGAAAGCGTGACCACTCTCATTGGCGGTGTTGTAGTGTGCTGGCTCTGGTGTAGGTAGGACCTGAGACGGATATGCATCAGTTTCCTGTGGTTTGTTTCTTTGTGCTTTTGACCGTCCCTCATGGATTCCAGGCTAGCCTGAATCTCACTTTGTCGTGAACTTACCATATTTCTCAGGCTGGGCTAGTGTGTACTATCCTAGTTTTACACCCGTCCATGGGTCACAGGGGTACCTAGAAATCTCCAGCTTTTGAATAATTAAATAATTTTTTAAAAAAGAGCTAATTGAAAGGTAGGCTTAGCTGTTGGAAGAGCTATAGCATGACTGGACAGCCCACAGGAATTCTAAGCATACTGTAGGATGAATTATCCTGTAAATGTGTCTCTTGTGACTGAATTAAGAAATCCTTGTCAAATATCTGCCTACTGGAGTAGGTAGTTCTTTTTGAGACAATAGACAGCTTTTTATTGCAGGGGGCATGGGCCATTACTACTTCTGGCCCAAATGGATTGAGAGAAAGATCCAGAAGGCAATTAGTGACCCTGCGTGGCGGGATGTTCAGAGTGCAGTAAGCAGGAGGAAAATCCTCTAAGCACAATAAACTCAGCAGTAAGATAGGAATCTCTGAACCCCCGAGGTGGGGCTCCAACTTTAGCAAGTCCAGTTGCCCAATGAGGCAGTAGTAACACAGCATGGTGCCCTCAGTTGGAAGGGCCATGTGGATTTTGGAAAGCCGGGTGAAGGGATGTTAGCAGAATTTCCTCATCAAACAGCGGAAAGTCTTTTCTCCTGCTAGTACAAGGAAAGTCCTGTCCCTTTGAGGCCAACCCCAGCTTGTCATATGCAGGCAGACGATCAGAAACCTAGAAACTTTTTGAACATGTGTTTCCCAGTCTCGCCACGAGCTCTGTCCATGTTTCGTGAAGGCGGCGCCTGTCACAGACACAATGGAACTGGTCCCTTGAACAGCACTGTGAGCTACCGAAAAGGGTATCCCCATCTAATTGATAAGACGGCCAGCCAGAACCCGAGGCAGGCATGTGGTCACTTAGAGCATGCCTAAACACGATCTGGGCCTGCTGCTGGGTACACAGGTTGTGTAGCAATTTCCTCCAAGATAAGACATTCCATCTTGGAGGAAGGCTCCTGAAGAAAAAGACATTCCAGATGCAGGTGGAACATTTCATAATACAGGGGAGTGGGTTGAAAAACAGGAAGAGGCTCCAGAGCTTCAACTGGGCTTAGGAGGTATTTGTTCATGTGTCCTCAGTCTCCCCCGAAGAGTGCCAACAGCACGTCCCAGTTCCTCACCGAGGACTACAGGGTGAGAAGCTGCAGTCTGCTGAGAAGCGAGAAGCCACCCCCAGGTCTGGGTCATGGAGCATCAGTCCCTGTGAAATGACTGATGCCTGGATGTGGTGGTCAGGGAGTGGAGCAGGTCACCAGGTAGCAGTGCACCCGGAAGCTTGGTGACAAGTGTCCTCATGGAACTCAAGAGAATGACTTTGGCTGCAGCATCAAATGTGAAGCCTCAGGGTCCCTCGTCCCATGTCTCCAGGTTCCCAGTGAAGCCATCTCTCTCCCTCTGTGCTTCTGCAAGTGTCATCCCCACCATGAGAGGTTTTTGATCATCTTAAGATAAAGACGATTGCACAACACCATCCAGAAGTCATTAGGAGCAGAGGCCCTGGTGATAGTGGAAGCTGCAGCAGCCTGGGGAGGGTCCGGGGACGAGGCCCCACTTCTGTGGCAAGTCTTCCTGCTGTGGAGAAACAGTGTAAGATCAAGAAGCCAGGAGCTCAGGCTTCCTGGAGACATTCTGAAGCCCCTGGAAGCCCCTGCTTCCACTAAACCCTTACAAGACAGAGAACTGTTTTCAGAATATTCCAAAACCCCTTGGGACTGCAGGATGAGCACCGAGTTCACAGCCTGGAGGCAGGGGCTGTGCTGAGACTTCCTTCCTCCTCGTACAGCCCCTTCCTGCTCTGCCTCCCCAATGACAAACAGGGGGTCCAAGGCTGCTGAGCCTGCCAGCTGTGTACACCCCATGAATATCAGGTCTCCTGGCCAGCACGTACTGATTCGAGTTGCGGGTTATGGTTAGTACAGAGACCCACGGGTGCTCAAAGTCCAGCACCAAGCAAGAGACTGCAGAGCACTCGGCTGTAAATGCGACTTGTCTGTCATACCCCTTGCTCAGGGGCACAGGGACCAGGGGAAGACTGGCAGGATATTCTTAGAGACTGAGAGGTGCTTATCTGTGCAGAAATACTATTTGCTAGACATCAAAATGGGAGATCTGAAGGTCATGGACATGGACCCTGCCCTAGTGAAATTCTTATGCGTGCTGCTACAGAAAGAGCTCTCAAATCATCTTTCGGGGAGATATCATAGAGACCCAAAGGCACAATAGTGTGCGTCTGCAGCAGGTGGGGTTCATGGAGCACTCACATTCACAGAGACAGAAAACTGCCTATGATTTCAAGGCCTAGAGACCAGGGTATAGGGACAGAATCATGCAGGAAGTGTGGGGCATAAGCCTAGGACACAGCAGTTCATCTCAGTACGATGAGCTTTGTTTATTTGGAACTGCAACTCCTTCTCGTATGCAAAGAAGCAAAGCCATTTCTCTATGCACCAAGTGATTGTTCAGGAACAACCTTGTTTACAAATTAGAGCTGCTGTGAAGCAAAGCCCCCGCCCCTCACTCTCTCACACCCCCCCCCGTCTCAGTGACCAAGTGAAAAGAGTGGACATATCAATGTCTCTGAGCAGTCGAGCATGACCACATGCTCCCTGAGGTGGAATGGCAGAAATGAGACAGAACCCCGGATGGATGGATCCTCCCCTCCCTTTCAAGCAGTAGGACTCTGGCCAGTGTGGCTTATAGTGCCCTGGAGGTCCACAATGAGGCCGGGAAGCACACATAATGTTCCCATTCCTCCTTCCACCAATCCTGGGAGAAGTCTCCATCCGAGTCCAGAGTGGGACATTCTCGAGGTCGGGTGGGCACAGCCATGTCTAGAAACACACTGTCCTCTAACTGGGGTCTTGGCCTCTCTGTCCTTGTAAATAACTTGTTCACAGAGATCAAGAGTGAGTTGGCAAGACCATGCTGAGGGGTTAGAGAACTATGTGGGATCAGCATGAAGCAGCAGGGCACCTGGAAATCTTCCTTACCCCAGAAGGCACAGTGATTGTCACTTGCCAGGGTCACCTCATGATTTAAATGCCATTTCTGCAACCGACTGCTATTGTTCAAATACTTATACCCACATTTTAGCAACCTCGAAAACAATGGAACCAACATATCGACAATCCAGCACTTTATTGCAGAAAAGATTTCAGGGAAGAAAAGGTTGTCATGGCCAGTATGGGTAGCCGAGACACTGGGGGCAGGGACAGGCTCCAGGACTTCTGTCTCCTGGGCAGGGATGGCACTCAAGTGCTGGCTTCAATATCTTCAGGCATCGTCGTTCTGGGAATCATGTATAAGATCGCTCAGCATGGATAGTCTATTATTTCTCCTGAAAAGGGCTCTCCGGTTCCTAAACCAATCCTACAACCACAAGAAAGGGTTGCGTTAGGACTCTGAACCTGTAATGGCTCAAGTACACATCCTGTGCCTTTCCCCGCTGGCTAGGTTTTACTGACATTTCAAAAGGTATGTGGAACCCATCATGGTGCTTGCCAGGTATGACCTCTAGCACTGAGCTTCTTGGGTAGCAAAGCCCCCGACCCACATTTTTCCACTGCCCAGAATCTGTTTATTGGTCTAACCCCATGAAGCCTTGAACACTTACATCCAGTGTATACTGATTGTTGGGAAGGCTGGAAGCCACAGCTTCCATTCTCATTGAAACAACAACCCCCCCCAAGTAGCCCATGTGGACATGCCATGCCACACCCAGTCAGTCCGTCAGCTGTGGAAGAGACCCAGAATATTGCCTCTTCTCCATCTACTGATATTTTGAATGCATTCTTTCAGCAAAGGATGAAGATCTAGCTCATGGGTTGGTCCTCGCCCTTGCTGGGGGGAAAGTATCCAAAATTGTTCTATGTAAGCTGGGACAGCCTGAGGCCATCCGTCATAGGCTCCACAGTGTCTGCCTTTGTGAGCACCCAGAATGCTCATTTTATGAGACAAAGGGCAAGGTTTCCTGCTCCAGGCTTCCTTCCTGGCCTCCCAGCTTATTGCCTATAGGCTTTTTCCCTTGTGGGCATTTGGTCTGGAAAGCCAGGGCTCAGTGTAATAGTGATCAGAGTGCATCTACTGAACCAGCAGAATTCAGGTCAAAGAGTGATGGGCAGTTTGAGGTCCCTGGTCCCAGTACTGCTTGAGCACTAAGCCAGGCATTGGCTGTGTAGAGACCTGAGGAAGGAGATAGCTAAAAAACGGATTCCCAAGGAGTGCAGAGGGAAAGAGTTGATGTTGGGCAAAGACACGGTTTCTTCACTGGTGTGACCCATGGGGGCTGCACAGCCTTCTCATGGGGAGCACACTGTGTCCAAAGAGGGACAGACAGAGCATCTTGACATCTGAGTTTTTCAGCTGTCCAGCTCGGCCTTCCCTGCCTGAGAAAATGGCGGTCCTGTGCCATCTTGAATCTAGCCTGGCTGTGTCCTGGTCTGGCACCCTTTGGGCTCCCACTCGGCTGCAACACTTCTCTTCTAGGCAGCAAGATCACAAGATGTGGAGCCCCTTCCAACAGATTAGTGTTTAGGATACTGACCTGCACATCGGCTTCTGACACGCCCATCCATCTTGCTAGGTCCTTCCTGAAGTGAAAAGATGCCAACATTTAGGCTTTGTGGTGGAAATAAAGTGTGTAAGGACATGCCCTACTTGCTTTGAAATGCTGGGGTCCACACAGGAGAGTGCGTGCACACACACACACACACACACACACGCACACACACACGCACGCACGCACGCACGCACCCAGGCACGCATACACACTACTCCTTAGTACTCTTCATGCCCACTCCAACTCTTGCTTTAGCAACAGGCTTCTTTCTGGGACGAAAATTAAGAACGATTGCCCAAACACATAGTCCATTACTTAAAATGCAGACTTCATGAAGAGAGCCTGCACTTTGCAACGTATTATCAAATTTTAATCTGAGGAGGAATCCCTCCTGCATTTTCCCAACCACACCTCGGGCTTCTCACTCATCCTCACAGAGACTCATTGAGAACACGCATTGTCTAAATTTCCCACTCATGTGTCCCTTAACCAGGCAACAAAACTCATTCTTTCCCAGTTGGTATCGGGCCCATCCCCCTCTCCAGAATCTGATTTCTGGTGGAGGGGTAAAGTTGGGTGGCTGTATTTCCGGAGCAAATCAGAGGAACGGGGAGCGCCAATGGACACCGTGGACAGGATGTGCTGCCCGAAAACCAGAAGCCTAGCAGGGCATACCCCGCCTACCTTGCTCGCAGGCTGGGGTAGCGAGTCTCCTGGAAGAGATGCTCCAGGTCCTGCAGCTGAGACAGGGTGAATCTGGTGCGGCGCTGCAGAGGCTGCCTGTTCCCAGCCCGTAGACTCTTGCTGCCCTCAGGCATCGCAGCCTCTTGCTGGGGCTGCTGCTGAGCACCGCTGCCATGGCCACCTTCCCCGCTGTCCACCGGGCCAAAGCTACCATCGCCAGCATGTCCTCCTCCCATTGCTTCTTTGATTCCTGCCTCCTCTGCCACTCCTGTGGCTTCCTGGGCAAGAATGAGCTGAGTAGGCTCTTCTTGAGCAAGCTTGCCTGGAGCAAGGTCGCCCTGGTCAAGCTCACCCTGAGCAGGCTTGCTCTCTACAAGCCCATTCTTGCCCCCTTCCTCTCTGGCCTTCAAGACCATTGCATTCCCACCTGAAAGGGAGACAAACACAGATAAACATCTGAGCATCCTGGGCTGGCCCGGGGACCATTGGAAACCCTGGAGAGGGGCCACAGGCAGAGCTGTAACAGAAGGAATGGCCTCTCAGGCAGATCTGCTTGCCGGACCTCACCAAAGTCCAGTCAGAACCAGTTTACTGACCATGCTGCTGTTCTCGGTCCTCATCAGCTCCCAGACCCAGCATCCTGTCGGAACCGTGGCGATCTTCTTGGCAACTCTCCATACCGGGAATCTTTCGTGATATCAGACCCGAGATCAGAAGCTCCCAAATCTCCGTCCTCACAGTTCCGGCTCCAGACAGCTCTGACGCTTGACCCGGAAGGGTTGTCTTTTGGGGCCTCAACCAAATTACAATGTGTCCAATTACACATTCTGTCCTGGCTGTGTGCACAGCCTCAGTGGCTGTGGGCTTGTCCTCTCAGGTGTCTAACCAGAAGCAGTGTAGGGCTGCAAAGAGCAGGGAGGACTTTAAAAAATGCGACGAGTATGTGTGTGGTTCCAAGTTGGCGCTTACCGGACACCTGTAGCCTTGGGTGAGGCTGGACTGTTCAAATTCAGACACAGGGAGTAACACAAACACCCTCTCCAGCTCATTAGACCCTCGAGTCCCGCTAAACAATTTATTACATTATGCAAATGTCATCCAAGCAAAAGGACAAAGACACATCCCTCAATAAGTTGGTACAAATCAGACACTGCGGTTCATGCCCCTCAGAGTGGATTGGCCAGGTGTACACACTCTCTCCTCCCCCCTCCTCGGATGTGCGCCTTCAACAGCCCTTTGTGATGGCCAATATGTGGGAAGCCAGGGCAAGATCCTCCCGGGAGACTGTGTTCCCAACTGGGCTGCATTCCACCGGTATTCCCAAGCTCATTGTGAGGGAGACTTTTCTCTACCTAGCAGGCCTTGGCCCAAGGACCTAGGGTGACCCAAAGATATCTGTGGGCATCCAACAGTGACCTTGGGCACTGGCTCCAAACTTGTCTCGCAGCTGGGGAGGTGAAAGACCGGAACAGGAAGCAATTATGGGTGCAAGCCTTCAAAAACATTGCAGGAACGTCGGACACTGGGGCTTATAGTTAAACCTACCAGAGTGCTCCCAAGAAAACCGCGGAGTGCTGCCCTTTAGTGGCTTTGTGTTTAAGAGGATCGTGGCAGGGCCTGGACAATGGTTGTGGCAATTGTCAGGAGACGGGCTAGTTCTCTGGGACAGCATAGGCTGAGACAGTGGAGAGCCCACGATCCACAGGGGCTGTCTCACACAAGGAGAAGATGGGGCTCTGTTCACCTGTTGCCCACCTTGCCAGGGGTGGCTTAACCTCCCCCACCCCCATCTCCAGGCCCCTTTGTTCATCCATGACTAAGGCTTTGCTTGTTGTTGACCTTGACTGTCTGGTAGCATTCGGGACTGGGTGGCCTTGCAGCCTGTGACATTTCAGATGTCCAGGTTGCTTTTAACTATACCCAGCTCGCTTTCTTCTCACAGCTACCCCGGAGCAGCTGCAACTGTCCTTCCCTTTCTCCCTGTCTCAGGGTCCTCATCAAAGTTTGTGCTGAAACAGGGACATCCTTACTCTCACAATTAGCTGCTGTAGAAGCAGGCTGTGTTAGGAAACTACAATGTCACGTATGCTTTCCTGAAGGACTTGGTGGGCCGGCTGACTGGCCTGCCAGTACTAGCTGGGAGTCCTGTCCTTATTTGTGGGAGTCAGTTTGGCTGCCATACTGAGCTGTAGAAACTCTCTTTGTTTCTCATCTTCAGTGCCCCTGGCTTGGCTGCTTCAATCCATTCCTGCTTATAGCCCTAGCATGCCTGCAATATATGGGAGCAATTTGTAGATTTGAACATGAGTGCTTTTTCCTCACTGTGGACAGAGTCCTAGCTCCTGCATCAATAGCAGCCCTGGATCCTGACATAAATTTCCCAAGACGCTGCTCCTAAGGTTTTGGAGAAACAATCTGTTCTCATGCACTACTTCGTGGTGGACAGCAGAGGTTGGTGAGCCCAATTTACTGCTCTATGTCATATTTTTAAAGTTATCTTCTATGACTGACTCTCCAGGATTGAAATGTGTTAATGAAATCTTGTGCCTCCTTCTTGTTTGGTTACACATTCAATGTTTTAAGGCATCGGTTCTCAGCCTCCCTAATGCTGTGACTCTTTAATACAGTTCCTCACGGTTATAGTCTAGACAGTGGTTCTCAACCTTTCTAATGCTTTGCCCCTTTAATACAGTTCCTCATGTTGATGGTCTAGACAGTTAATCTTAGCCTTCCTAATGCTGTCTCCCTTTAATACAGCTCCTCATGTTTTGGTGGCCCCCACCCATTTTCATTGCTACCTCATAAGTGTAATTTTGCTACTATTATGAGTCGAAATATAATATCTGTGTTTTTTGATGGTCTTAGTAAAGGTTGGCAGACCCCAAAGGGTAAAAGGGATCACGTTCCACATGTTGAAAACCATTGCTTTACCTTAAGAAACATAATTTTGCAGTTTCTACAATACCGACTCTGCTCATCTTTCTTATTAGATGGGGAGCCTATCTGCACACAGTTTTTGTTAGCATATACATATCCACACAGGCACATTCACAAACATATTCACATGCAGAAACCTCTGTAGCCCAAGCCCTGCTGTCCCATTGACCCATCCCCTAGAGAGAAGATAATCTGTAGAATGCAAGAGTAGTTCCAGAAATATGGAATGCATAAAGGGAAGGTGGTCCAAAATTTTTCACAAAACTAGTTGCAGCCAGGAAGGGAAACACAAATGAATTGTAAGTCTGTTGCATTGATGAGTACCAGTTTAAAAACAAAAACACACAAACAAAAAAACTCTGAGACTTGAATCATTGCCTAACTAAAACCCAAGATAATGTTAAGTTTACCTTAAGAGCATTAAGATAATTCAAATTAGCAATTTTAGAAGCAATTCATCAGCTTCAAGAAGAAATAAAACTGATGGAGAATGGATTCTTCAATGAGCTTTTTATCTATATATGACATAATATCACATACAAAAAGGATAATAACTGAGTTTTCCTAGATTTGGGCCATCTTCCACAAACCCATGCTTAGCATTGTTAGGGACATCTGACATTCTGTGACCCAGCTTTGCCCAGGTTGGTTCTCGTATGAGGCCTTTGTGGCTCACAGGGCAGGTTACACTGACCCCTGCACTGCCCACTGTGTCATTTTTCAGTCTCTACTCAGCACTCCATGACCCGAGCTTTCAAACCATCAAGTGATTATCATGTCTTGGGCATAAAAGTCACTGGCTGACACCTAGCTCATACGAACTGCTATCTGTGTGTGTGTCTCTCTGTCTCTCTCTGTGTCTCTGTATCTCTGTCTCTCTGTCTCTCTGTGTGTGTGTGTGTGTGTGTGTGTGTGTGTGTGTGTGTGTGTGTGTGTGTGTACTGGTGTCTTGTGGAGGAATAAGAAAGAGTGAGTCCTTTGCTGATCCAGAAAAGGTATGGGCAGCTCCAGGATCCTCCCTTTCAATCAGCCACATCACTTTGGTGTGTTCTTGCTTAACCCCTCTGGCATGCTGTTTCCAGGCCACAGGTCCTGTCCCTGGTCACAGGTCTCATCCCACAGGGACTCAGTAAGTAGTCTTCCTGCCATGATTGTGACAGACACCTGGTTGAGAGAGACACAGGTTGATATAGAGGGAACTCGGGACTGGGGGCTGGGTGGGCAGACATCTAGAAGGATAATAAAACCAAGAAGGAAAGGGTGGGGAGGCTTAAGTGAGCCGCAGGGAAGGATATCTCTGGTAGAGATGGCAGAAGTATGGCCAGGAGAGGGTCTGGAGAAAGCTTGTGAAATTTTCCAGTGCAAAAGAGTCATGCCTGGGGAGATAGGTGTATAAATTATGAGCACCAAGGAGGAAGTTGGAGCTGGGGGTATCCAGCAGGGCCCAGAAGAGAGGCTGCTGAGTAGTCAGAAGACTGCATGGGAATGAGGGCATGAAGTGAGCATGACTGACTGACTGACTGTGCAGCCATACAGGAGGGAGGCAGCCTGCAGGCCCATGGTTGTGACTGCTCGTGTAGGATTAGCCTGGCCGACCCAGGTCCAGTTACAAAAGGAAACCTGGGCCCTTGTATAGTCTCCAGGATGCCAGATTTGCCTTTGTGCGGTTCAAAGACCAGTGAAGATGGTTCCTTATGTTAACAGTTTCTGGTGTGTAGATAGGTGACCACATAAACTCCCCTGATGCTGAGAGAGGTCTGTTCTTCCTGGAGGCAAGCTTAGACTGGCATAACAAGCTCTAAGATAGTCTCCTGATGGAGTGGTGAGAAGGTTCAACTTCTTCAATGACACCCACCAAGAATGAAGAATACTTACTTGAATAAATTGGTTGTAATTACTTAGTGTGTGTTTCATTTGGCAGTAATACTCACTGAAGTTATGTCTAAACAGAAATCTGGGAAGGGCCTTGGTATTCATCATTAGGGGATTTACTCAATAGACAAGAGTCTGACCTGGGGGTAGATGATTTTGCATCATACACCATAAACATCATGCTGTCACTAGTGCAGTCAGGGGGATCTTTCCTAAATTCCAACCCGACTCCTGTTTCCCTGCTCAGACACTGCCCACAGCTGCCCACTGCTGTTCTGACTTTGCCAGGGCCCAACACTGCCCTTCCCTGACCTTGCTTTCCATTTGAAGTTGTTACCAAAAAGTGTTTCTTGGTCCACCTTTGTTCCTTCTGGTTTTATTCCTGGCAGGTCCTACTTTTTAACTCAACCACGAGGTCCTGTCCTGTGCACACTTCCTGCCTATACTGCCGCTGGTAACTCCTATTACTGAGTTGGGATCCCTGAAGACCTCTGGGGATTAGTCTGTCTAGAGCTAAATGTGTTCCTGTGGGCAGAGGACTTATGCTGGGAGCAAGGAAGCATTTAAGTAGATAGTCTGCCCTCAGCTAAGACGGAACTCAACCCACCAATGTACCTGGGCCAACTCCAATGTACCTGGATGTCACCACAAGGCTGAAAGGGTGGGCATTTTGCTTGCTACCAGATAACAGCAGTGTTCCAATATTTTGCTAAGTGGTGAATGTCTGAGGGGTTGGAGAGGGTGTTGCTGGCAGGATAAAGGTATAGGTGCCCCCAGGAACCCTGGCACCACCTTCTTCAAGGAGCTCCGTGCACTAAGGGATCTAGCCCTCATGCCACAGCTTGCACTACTGGTGGGAACCTCTGATGTTCTTAGCCCTACGGGCTGTTTCACTCCCTTCCTAGCACCATCTGACTGTCCTAAAACAGCAGTGGCCGCCAGAAGTCCCTGTGGCCACCCCCAACAACAGTAAACTGGATTGCGATGTTT